TTTTTGTTTTTCGCGTATATTAGCAAGTTTACGGCATTTTGTTGCTTTGAGCCTGAAACAACCTGTTTGAAAAAAATGAGAACGAAGTCAAAAAAGCGGTTTATACCCCGACACCGACATCAAATTTTCGGATCTGGGCTAAACAAGTGTTATTACCTTATAACATTCTTATCCCAGGGCGAATTTGAGCAAATGGGATGTTTAAATCATGGTTAATCCTTTAAAACCGAGATAGTTATAGACCAAAGGATAGTTATTAAAAATACATTTCAGAAAAAATATATGAGACAACAATTGGAAGTTATTTACACAATGATATTATTTCTTCTTTACTGGCGTAGACCCCGCTTACGCGATTATAGCCGAGTTAATAACAGCAATGATATTATCCTGCAAAAATTGGTCGCTGGAAACCTATAAGAGGAGGCACAAACAAACTTTCGATAAGCTTCTAGTAGATAGATAAGAAAAATGCCGATCTTTGCTAACCTAAACAAACAAAGTCCTTGATAAGTGCTGTACAGAAAAGTGGGTACTGTAAATTGCCAAAACATTTTTAGATAAACTTCTGTCAGTTGCTCACATTTTATGAACTAATGAGACATAATTTTTTCAGTTCAGTAAAGATCGATCTTATTTTTAAAGCGCAAAAACGAATGGCAATTAGTCATTCCTATTGGCGTTATCAACACTTAATGAAAATAAATTTGTATTCATTTTAAATGAATATAAAACACGAGCGCGATTATTTGAAGCAGTTGAAAATTTTAATGCCAGAATTGGATATACCAAAGCTTTAAGAGGGATAAAGATTCAGATAAAATGATGCTCTTGGGCGTTATCCTACTTCCTAGTCAAAAAGGATATTTCCATGGTATGGGTCAATCAACAGGATAATAACCCAACGCAAATCTCGAATAGATAACATGGTAGATTGGGCGGCATTAGACTGCTGCGCAAGTGCACTTGATATCTACAACGAAACAACGAGCGACATATTGTACTAACGTGTTTGATATCATTTACAGCAAGGTGAGCATTGCACTTGAATAGCAATGAATGCCAAAAACACAAACAAACTTAAGATGCTTGAAAGGCAATGCCATGTAAAACATTAACGTTATTGCCTAATAGCACATGCCGATTATATGTTTACAGCAAATGTTTAAAATATTTTCTATTATTAACTACTACTTAAATATTATGAGTCAATAATAAATAATAACAATATGCACAAATATAATGGAAAAATTTTTAAATGTTTTATTACACACATTGCAATATGACTTGAATTTAATTTCCTTTGCCTTTATTGTCTTTTCCTGTAGTTTTGAAACAATGAGTGGAAAGAAATTTGCCAAGCTTGTTATTGCAATTGCTTTTCTGTACTCACATGATGTGTTATGTTAAACAAAGGAATGACTTGAAGCACGGTCTTCGGACCTCTATCTAACCGAACAAAATCATATGACCGGATATAAAATAAAAGCAATGCTAAACCAAAAAAATTTTCAAAAATTATAAAAAAAATTGCCTGCGATTTATAGCAGAAACAGCCAAAAACGGTACTCCCTTCCTTTTCCTTCCTTAGCGAGCAAAATGTGTCAAAAGTTGAGCCCGTGGTAAAAACGCAGAAATCAGCCATCTTTGTTTGTTGTCATATGAACAGTGTTGCCATTGCTCAATACGCATACATATGTATATACTTTTGTACACATCTAAGTTGAGTATCCGCTGACACGGGCCACGGGTCTACGTTTTTGGCTGTTTGTGCTATTAGAATAGTATCCCCCCATTTCGAGGTTAAAATGGGTATGTACGGATAGAGGAGAGCCTACAGATCAAGAATATATGTATATATAGTTGCCGCTGACTTATGGTTCTTGAGATACTTCCATTTAAAGTTCAATAATCAACTATTTAAAATGCGTGTTACTTCCTCTGTAGGCACATGTCCATTTTATCCCGTGATGCCAAAGTTATCTTCAGCAATTCGGTGTTAAAATGGGTATGTACTGATAGAGGAAGTCCTCCAGATCAAGGATATGTATAAATATAATTGCCGCTGACTTATGGCTTTTGCAATTAAAGTTCAAAAAATCAACTATTTAAAATGGGTGTTTCTCGGATTTATAATGCATTTTACACTTACATTTTATACTTTTATATCCACTAACACTACACCAATTCGTTTCTTATCATTTATTTTATATTGAATAGAGCAAAAATAACTTTAATTCCATATCAAACTTTAGTTAAAATCCTTTTGTTCATAAAATAAAAAAGTGGTTGTAAACAAGCAAAAAATTAGTGTTACCATATTTTGTAATGGAATAAGAATAATAAAAAAGAAAGATTACGACGTCAAAACTAAATTCATTATCGTGTGATGAGTAATGTAAAATCTTTCAGAATTTTCAATATCTTGATAAATAAGGCTGCCAACGCAAAAATTAGTTCAACGCAAAAAAAATGAGTGTTGGTCCGACTGAGGGTTTTTTTTTAAGTGCGGCACGAACTGAGTACGCCCAGGTGTTGTTCCGACCGAGGGTTATTTTTTGAATCGCGACCGAAGGCCGCCAATGCAGAAAGGAATTCTATGCGGAAATATATATGTGACCTGGTCTACGAAAAGGTAGCTAACGTGCGAAAACTAGTTTTCTGGGAAACAGCTGTTAAAAATCTCATCTTCCATCCGAATCAACTAAAAAGTGAAAATTGATTTTTGGATTTTTAGATACCTAAGCCCCCTTTCCGTAGACCAGGTCACATATATATATAWCCTGTCATTATTATTTGTTTTCTTTCGGTACTTCTGTAAAATATGAACGCCAGGTAGCACTGATTTTTAGTTGGAATGAAACCCTTTGTTATTGTACGACCAAAAATTAATGAACAAAGTTAAATGTTTAATAAATTTTGCACCATTTAATATAAAATAAATAGTTAGAAACGATTTAGTGAAGCGTTAATGGATATAAAAGTTAAAACTATATCCATAAAATTCATTATAAATGGGAAAACACGCATTTTTAGTAGCTGAATTTTTGAACTTTAAATGCAAATATCTCAAAAACCATAAATCAGCGGCAACTATATATATACATTTTCTTAATCTAGAGGACCTCCTCTATCCGTACATACCCATTTTACCCCGAAATCCGGGGATGCTATTCTAAACTTTACCCCAAGCCACAATTTAGTGGAGTGTTATCAGATGTAAAATTTAAAATGTATTATAAATTGAAGTACGCCCTTTAAATTTTTGAATTTTCTAACTTTAAACGCAAATATCCCATAAACCCATTAGTCAGTGGCAAATATAAATATATCTTTGAAGAACCGCCCCTATCCATAACCCTGTAATCGGGGGATGCTAATCTAAAATTTTCGAAAAAAATTCACTCTACTCTAATTACCGAACCCGGTGTTGAATCCAAAACATTGTCGCAAGTGTAAGATAAAAATTATTCCGAGTAAATTACAAAATGCACACAAAACATATTATCATTTATAATTTCCTCTACAGACTCAAAATACTATTATTTCGAGAATCTAAGCCTAATTGGATTGATATGTAATACTTGTCATTCACTTTACAAGTTAAACCCTTTTCCTCAACTCTCAAGCATACTCTTATAGAATGAAATACACAAATTCACACAATTAATAAGGTGACTTTAATCCAAAAACTTACTTTCTTTCTTAGCTCAGGTTTACCCTTCTTCACTGTGGCTACAAACATATCACCTACACCAGCAGCTGGCAGACGATTCAAACGACCGCGAATACCATGTACAGCAATTACAAACAAATTCTTTGCGCCTAAAGTACAATTTAAAAATTAATGAGATTTAAACAGAATAAATAAAGGGTATCGAACCTGTGTTATCAGCGCAGTTCATCACGGCGCCCACTGGCAGACCAAGTGAGATGCGGAATTTTCCACCCGCGGTACCACCACGTCCTAAAACACACAATTGAAATATTGATTACTATACACTAGTACACATTTTTATAACAAATGTACACAATAATAAAATAAATATTTCGGTTAAATTTCACGATTTTTCCGGATTATTTTTACCTCTCTTCGACATTTTGCTGCTTGCTCGGTAAGAAAAGGAAGTAAAAGAAAGAGAGCGGTCAATTGGCAAGCAATGCTGCCAATTGTCACATCTGACATTTAATAAAAACACCAATAGCACACATTCAATCCGAATGCGGCATTGACAGCCAAATGTGGATGCTATTCTTGAATTGTTCTTATTTAACTAACGAATTTTCTGTTTACAAACAAAACGACTGATTTTGAAATTGTGAAACCAATTACTTTTGATAAATTGTTGTTTTTGGGCTTTGACAAAATCTTTGAATATCATTTCCGGGAATATATTTAATTTTTACCATCTTAATATTCGTTGAAAATATTCTATATATAATTTTAAAATTCCATATTTATGTAATTTGTGCATAAGCATTAAGCAAAAGCTACAAAAAAAAATTAAATCAATTTAAGATAAAGTGGAAATCAGTTCTTCTGTTTTCAGATTTTTTGTCCTCAGCGCCGTTAACTCAACGTCTGGTAAAGGGCATAACCAGAACTTTATCAGCAAAATGTTGAAAAATGGTTTTCTCAATATCTAGCAACAATCCTTCCGTTAAAGTCTTTACCAAAAAAGAACTCTTGTTTGGTTTTTAATCATGCTGTTAGCTGTAAAATCGATGAGTGGAGCACACTGGGCTTTTTTTGCTATAAATAGCTAGAATCAACTAGATAGCGATATTCCTAGTTGTATGGTAGAAGATTTACCATATAAGGCTGTCGAATTGTGAAGCAAACACAGTTATATTTATATCAAATCGTTTACCTGGTAACTCTCTCTTGAGATTGATTGTTAAATAAATCTCTCAACTTTATGGCACTTTATTTCTAAGAATGATAGAGAAAGAGATTACGCAATGCGCTTGTTTGCTTTCAGTCAGCTGTTCTTGCTGACGTCACGGTTGACTTATTATTCGCCCGCGCCTTTGAATGTGAATTCGAATTGTACTTTGGAGTGAAGTATTAAGTGAGGAATTTTATATTTTTTTAAATGCGTTGCGCAGTGTTCGATTGCAACTGCAGAAGCAGTTTAAAATGGGTAATTATATCATTTTGATTACAATAATTTTACTTTTATAACCAAACACTCTTGCAGGTTTAAGCTCGCGGAATCCAACGAAGTTATTACCTAGCGCTTTTCCCATGTTAACCACTGCTCCTGTAGAGATTAATGAACGACAGAAAATGATATAGTCTGGTTTAAACCAGGACGTTTTAGAAATCTCTAACCGGTAATTATCGAAATATTAAAAGTACATAGCATTATAAACCTAAAGCTACAGAAAACATTTTAATATAAAAATGAACTGATGTTAACAAGTGCAAATATATACTTATATACAAACTAAGTTTTTGTATACTTACCACTGTTTCTTATCCTAATTATAATAATAAACTTAACAAAAAATTTATTCCATTTATTTAAACGCATATATGTATGTTTATTATATTTTTGCAGGTAATATTTTTAACGTCTTTCAATAGATCTAAACTCCGCTGGCCCAACTGAAAAAAATTGATGACGTGAAGATTCTCAACAACGACGGACTTGAGAATTTGGCAGGGTACATCTGCCACAAACTTGGTAAAGACAACAATTTGTGACAATTCAGAAAATTGTTCATCTTATACTTGGGTGGATCCCCTTTCTGAAGGAGGACTCTCAAAAAAACAGATATGTTGATGGAGCATATGAGAGCATTGCAAGCAGTATTTGGCGACATAAATGGTACTGATTTGCATATATATATGTAAAAATTAGGTTCAAAAACACTTAGATTTAAGTAATTTTGTAAACTGTAACATGGTATTCTGTTTACTATGTTGGTGACACACAAGGCAATGTGTCAAAAAAAATTTTAAACAATAAATATGTTGTTGTGTTTTATTGACAAAATAAGTTCAATTTTTTAAAATACTCTAAAGTTAATATATTTTCATCGCAGAAAAGCGATTTGCTTAAAGTCTCTCTAAAATTCTCACATAAAATGAGGCATTTCCTGCTTTTCATTAAGAAAAATTGTGAAAAATGTTTAGTTTTCCATTTCATTAATTAATTTTTTAAGTAATTTTGACAGAATATTTCAAACAGGTGTGTGTAAAAGGTTTTACAAAGTTTGTCACCTGTTTGTTTGCTGTTTATACAAATACCACAATGAAACATCACATTATTGTTAAGAGCAAAATACTTAGGCTGTTCACGATAAGGTGGTTATCGGGTTAAGTGGTTATGAGATTGAGTAAACAACAACAAATTGCAGTATGAAAAAATAACCAACTTTGACCAACCTAGGCCCTTGTTTACAGATTATGTGGTTGTTTGCTTATTTCCAGTCTTAGTAGAAAGTCGTTGGAATTTTACTAAATGGCAGCACAAAAAATAAATAAAACTAAGCGAATGGCATTTCCATTTATATTTTCTTTTTGGAAATTCTGCTATTAACAGTTGTTTTTTGTTTACAATTGCATTGTGACACTGTTCAGGGCGCAAGATGTCTGCAAATTTTATAAGAAAAATTTTTTGAGCCCTTAAAATTCGGATTATTTAATAAGCACATATCTTCAATAAAGTCCATTTCCTGAATAGCAGAACTTATTTTAAATTCAATTATGTTGCTTTTTAAACTTTGTTTAGGCATTTTATAAGTAGAAATTTCATTGAACTTAAACTGTAAACATTGATCAACTGTTTTTGTAAAAATAAGTAAATAACCATACAATATAAGATGTTCACGGAGCATAGAGGTTATTTTTAATCTAATAACCCGATAACCACCTTACCGTGAACAACCTAACTATTCCTCATATGGGATTTTGCTAGTATTTGGTGACACACATGTGGTATTTGTACAATATATGGTATAGTTATTACGTATCTGTCTCGGGTATTAGGGGCAGTCACATCTATTAAATTTCATTATTCAGAGATGTGTAACTTCCAATCCGTTTCAAATCGAGTTGGGTATATTATGCGGCGAGATTTGTGGTATTAACGATTGCGGCGTTAAAAAAAAAAAAATTAAGGTTTAGCCTTTTTTTTTAAGTTTTAAGTTAAGTTTAAGTTTTCTTGTTATTACCTATATATATTAGTTCTAAGTTGTACATATTAGTTTTAAGTTGAAGCTTCTAATTTTACTTTTACAAATATTAATTTTTAGAATTATAATTTTTATACTGAAATAAACTTAATCTTGTATTATTTTCCTGCCGAATGTAATAATAATAGACAAATTATTAGTTTAAGTAAATATTTCATTATTTCGATTTTAATATTACAAAATTTAAAATAATACTTATAAACAAATACTTTTTGTTATCCATAACACACAGGTAAGCTATGCGCTAACAAAAGAATTTGTTACCCTTAACTTACTGTAAAGAGATTTGCTAACAAATGTATGTATTGTGTTAGAAAGCTGCCTTCAGCATGCGATATTTGCCATTGGTTAGAGCGAGATAACCATTGAATATCAAGTAGCTAAGTGTTATTTTTTTCCCACTCTCTCAACAAAAGTAACAAATGTTTTAACGAATGCAAAAGTGAACAATAACAAATCGCTTACACGTTTGCAGGGTCTTCTTACAAAGGAAATCAGTGAAATTTAAATTTAAGTTATACTATGTTCGGACCGACATAGAAAACATTTTGAAAACACATTTGTGGGTTGTGGAATCTAAGTCGTTCGGATCGACAATGTGCGTTTTCGATGAGTTTTCATTGACAATTATCAATAGGGGGATTATCTTGCTTTTGCAAGATTGCACGACGACACAAAATGCAAAAATCCTATACCGAAATATACAACGACAAGAGAGCACTCATTACAGAATCTAGTGATACATGACGGCAGGAAAATAAACATGGGTTTTGGTCTGACATATTTTACAGCCATTGCAAATAATTTTCTCAGTGTGTTTGTTGTTGTGCCATTGAACCTAGAGGAAATTTCCGCAATTCCCGTGCACCGTGCAAGCGTTTTGCAAGAGCAAGAGAATGCCACTATTGTCATTGAAGTTGGCTATGCTTTTATGCACTTACTATAATAAGATACCATAATCATTAATAAATGTTTCCGCTCCAAATTTCTGGTAAAACATTTAATTTGCAAATACAAGATGGAGACAACATTACTTGCAGTATAGGTTTTTAGAAATCTAAAATTGTTTGTGGAGACACCCAACTACATGAAGAGGAAGCACTGGAAAATATCGGTTATGGCTTAATATGCTTATCTCATCTCAATTGTTTACAGTTATGTGTTGTTTTTTGGTTTAAAGGGCTTTATTTTTTGATTGTGCCTAAGTTATTTGTACATAAAAATAGGATAATGGAAATTGGATATTTACAAGAAGTAAAAGCAATAATTAAATCGCTTGTCATTTCATGTCCTAAAGCAATTACGATTGATGAACTTAATCGGGACTATAGAAACATTGAGGGCCAACGAATACCTCATCATAAGCTTGGTTTCCAAACATTAGAGTCGTTCCTTCGTTCTATTCCTGATACGGTTAWTGTAAATATTGGATCTATAAAGCTATAAAGCTATAAAGTAAATTTTTAAGTTTTGTTTTATTTTATTTATTTTTAGGTTTACGGAAATGGGCCTTCAGCTTCTGTAGGTATTGTTCTCAATGAAAAATCTGCTCATATACATAAGATGGTAAGTGAGCAGAAAAAGACAAGAATTAAACCAAAGTCATCAAAACAAAAAATAATACCAGTAAATGCTTCTAACTTTGATAAACCACATTCTGCCGGACAGAAAGTAGAAAGAAGTTCTAAGAAAACAAGCAATAATACTCTTCCTTCAAGTAATATTCGTCTCAGTCATTTTATATCACGCTGTGGCCCGCGGAATACGGTAATAAAGTGTCAAGCGCTTGACACTTCGAAGTTTATGATTAAAAGAGTTGAACAAAAACCAATACAATTTTCTGGGCAAAGCTTTCCTGATGATGTGAACGAAATCAACAAACCCTTACATTTGATACCTGGAAACATTCTACAAAGCAACAAACCCATACATAAAATATCTGAAACACTTGCACAAATCAAACACTCCAAACATGAAATGCATGAAACAATTTCACATTCTGAGGTAGAACAAAATATTATTTTGGGCAGACCTCCGTTAACACAACTAAACCAAGATGAATATTTATGGAAAATCTTTGGTATGTGTGAAATACGCGATGACGTAGATCCATCAAGAAATAAAACTGTAGAAAATGGAAAACAAAATTTCACTGAAATTTCAAATAATAACGAGAACGGAGATGACGAACTATCTGTTAAACACGTTTTTAAACCGTTGTCATTAAAAAATTCACTTGAAAAAAGTCACATAGATGACATTGAAGAAGCAGTCCCAGCCTTCGCAGCTGTATGTATTGTTTTTTTTATTTTTAAAAATGTGTATTCATATCCGTAAATTTGTAAAAAAGACATGTGTAACAAGTTATGAATATTTGTAATTTTACAGAATAGCCTAGTATTCCGAATGGATTTTCCGGAAAATACCATGACCTTCGGTAAGAAGATCCCATCTTATAAAATTTCGGACCAAATTATTCGAGGTTCTATCATTGGAATTTTTATATCAGAGGTAATACATTATTATATAATTCACTTCACTATTGGTATACTAATTTTTATTTTAAATCTAGATTCACAGCCCTTACAAATTTTGGTTTCATATTTACAAAAAACACCATGAATTGGATGAACTAATGCTTCAAATTGAGTAAGTATTTTTTTTATATTTGTTAATATAACATGGTTAAAATTTGAATGTATTTAGACGATTTTATACATCACTGGAACCTGAAATATTCTGCATACCTAGTGTTTGTGTAAGCCCTGGCCAAGTGTGTGCAGCTCTTTACAAAGGACTATGGCATCGTGCAGAAATTTTAACTTCAGTTATTGGGAATAAAGCAAAGGTATTTACTATTAATTTTTTATTTTATGGTAAATATTAATTCACAGGTGTTACTTTCAGGTCTTCTTTGTAGATTATGGCACGGTTTCGAATGTACCTGTTAGCAACATAAAATTCCTCTTGACCTCGTTCGCAAGATTGCCAAAACAAGCTATTCGCGGATCATTGTCCCATATTTGTCCCAATAATTATCACTGGAGCCCGGAGTCAATCCAATATTTTTTGTCCCTGTCTTCTGAGTTAATGCTTTATGGTCAAGTCTCAGAGATCAATGAAAAGGTAGTATTGACTTATTGTAGTGCGATAATTCTAAAATTTAAATTCATTTATAGAAACGCATAATTCACATGGTCTTATGTGATTCGAATCGAAATGAAGTGTTACAAATTAACAGAGAGTTGGTGGAAAAAGGATTTGCTTTTTACGATGAACAATGGTTGAAATCTGATAAGGTGAACAGTTCTCAATAATGTAGCCATGTATATATATATAATGTGCATAAAAATTAAGCGAATATTTTTACATGATTAAACCTTTCGGAAGTTGTTACTTGTATATATGTATGTTATGGACTGTTAATGTCAATACTTAAGTTCTTTGTTATATGTATATATATATTTAATTTAAATTCATGAATAATTGACATATAAATCTAAGTTATTAAAATAAATTTATTTACAAAATTTGTGTGCTAGTGCTGACAAGTTTGACCAAATGAATAGTTATTTTAGTTGAACTAATATGGTTCTTCCAATAAATAGGTATTTT